AGGCCAAGGATTTAAGGCAGCATGCGGAATTTTAACTAAACTGTTGTGATCTCATTTCCTGCTAATGATTTTAGCTTATTAATTTAAGCTTGTCGCAAATGGAGCTAGTTGACAGTCCCCAAGATCAAGTGTTGCGGTGGCGTTTTGCGCGTTGTCGCCGAATATACAGGGTGTCGCAAAAAAACGCAAACAATAATAGGCTTAGAATACAATAGCGAGTAAAATATTGACAGGATACATGCAATAAAAAATAAGTTAAGAAATTCTTATTGAATATTGTGCTATGAACGTGTTAGATTATATTGCTGATATGCATTCATTACGTGCAACTGAACCAAAGTGGATCCCTTTGTTTCATAATCAGCTATAACCTGCTTGTTTAAATTTATTTTAGACTTAATTTTGGATGAAATTTTTTATTTTGCATGAAGTATGTATCGACAAAATACTACATACTACAATGATACAATCTTCTCCCTTTCCAATTTCCATAGGCTAAATATGGTTGAAACCCGAGGCAAACGAGGCAGAAAAGTTCCAATAATTCTGACACCAGAAATTACAAAGGGTATAGAGCTGCTTAATTCTCTTCGCTCCAAGGTGGGAGTAAACAAAGAAAACAGATACGTATTTGCGAGAGTAAATAGAGATTCGTTGGAGCCACTGAGAGGATGGGACTGTCTCAGACAATGTGCCCTTGAATGCCAGCCAGAACTTCAAAATCCTGATGTGATAACCAGCACCAAACTGCGAAAATACATCGCAACGATTACACAGGTTTTATCGCTGGAAGAAAAGGAAATGGACTGGCTTGCACGACACCTGGGGCATGATATTCGCACACATCGCGAATATTATCGGCTCCACGAGTCAACTATTGAAATTGCAAAGATAAGCAAGCTGTTATTGGCAGTAGATAGTGGGAAGGCCAGTTCGTTGAAGGGCAAGTCATTGGATGAAATATCGATTGACGGTAGGTAATGACTGTAGGATGAAAGAAAATGATACAATCCTTAGGTTCAATACGTTATGCATTTCCTACAACAATACCGATTTTGGCGCAACGATGCAACCAAGCCAATATAATACAAATGAAACTTTCATATGACATGCCACGTGGTTATGATAGAGAGTTGTCAAGTTTATTGAAACGGGTATTTGCTGCGTAGAACAAGGATCCTCCAGAGTGAATAAGGATTATAATTTTGTGTCGCCGCTAAGAATAAGTACAGGTTTTTCTACGCGATCGTGGCATTCATGGATATAGTTCATGTAAATTAAGTTAATCTAGGGATCGAGATATGGAACACGTTGAGTCGCCTAATATTTATATATTACTGAATTAACGAATTAATTATATATACTTTAGACATATCTGAGCCAGAACTAACTGATGATGAACGAGGTGATGACGACGGGGAAACAAGTTTGGCTCAAGGTACGGTATATTAGCTACTTACTGAATAGAAATGTAGTTAAATTGTTCCAAAGGGAATGCTAGCCAATTGATCGAGTCATGCAAATGTCTTAAAGTATCTACATTTGTTTTAGAATATACATATATACAACAATTATCATACATTAAATATACATCATTATCATGCAAAGCATTTGTTTGGAAAAAGTCTGGAATTATCGTAGGTAAAAGCCTTAAATGGTCTTGATCATCTATTTGTTAGATTTACAATGTCTTGAGATTTCTCAAAGAATGAGTCGCAACCGTCATACATTGTGCCGCAATAATTACAGTTGGTAATATACTAACGCCCGAAAATGGCGATAATCCATTCCTAGTCCATTCTAAAATGTAATTCACGTCTAATAAATTGACAATTTTACCCGAATACATATCTCCAGTTTGACTTTTGTTTGTAGAATATATTGTTGCAAACAATTCTAGAACATATCTATAGACATTCTAAAGACGATTCAACACATTTGTGGTAATTGCAAAATGATCCAAAAAAGTCATTAGAGCTATTATTTCAACTTAAAATACAGATTACAGATCTCAAAATGCAGATCACAAAAATTTTTTTCTATACACCTACCAAGGACCTTTTCTAGATCTAAAAAAGATCCACCATTAATTTTTATAAACCGCATATAAAATTATCTGAAAACAACAAAACTGGCAATGATCATGCAATGTTCATCTTCATCTAGAACCATAATTTTATTGCAGTGAAATGATATTAAATAAAAAAATTATGTTATATTGGCTTCACTGACTTAACCACACATTGTTTTTTCTATCCCAGAGGAAACAAAGAAACGCAATGCTTTTGAAGCAAAAAGCAAAGGTGAGTTATAACTAAATTTCATAACAGCTAGATTTCAAAACAAAAAATGAAGGAGCGCAAAACAGCAAACCGAAAAAAAAGTATCTTTGGATAAAATTGTTCATGTAATGGTCACGGGTAATTTTTCATTGAGGAAAAACATCCCCATCATTTTTGCTGGGAATTTGCAATATCAGTTTTTACAGCCTTGTTTTAACAATTAGCAGGGGCATCATCAGAATTTTTTATTGAGCAGGCAAGTTTCAGCAAAAATAAGAATTTTTACTGTTTTTTTTACGATCCAGCAGGAAACGATAATAGTTCAGCAAATGAAAAATATAAAATTTCAAGATGGTTTTCAACTTTCAAGTTTTTGCTCAGTTTTAAGGTTGCTTTAATTTCGTAAAAATCCTGAGTAAGCTTCCTAAATATGCCGAGATGTCCTCCAAATCCCAGTCCATGGTTCCCAATCCTCTTAGAATTATTTGTGCGTCATGTTGTAGAAGGGAAATATCAGAGACCGCGTATAGAGAGGGAGGGGAGTTGGAGCAATAGAAATTTTCACGAAGGACGATATCTATCTATAATTTAGTTTCCCACTAAGAGAGCGTGTTAGAGAGTCGCCACTCTCTAACACGATCCGCGGGGCCCTGAATTTGAGAGCTAAAAACGACTGCAGGCCCTGAATTTGAGAAGAAACATAAATATACAGCTAGTCAATTCACTAACCGAAAGGAATTTTTGCAGCTTTTTTGCTAATTTACGGACCAAATCAAATACATCAAATCAAATTACTTTTTACAGCTTGGAAAACACGATTGAAATAATGCAATTGAAACTCACAACACCCCGTAGTTTTAGTCAAGGTAGAAAGCTATGGTAACTAATCAGTGATTATGGTAACTAATCACTAATCATCGATACTTTTTTTAAAGCGACAAAATCAAAGAAGCCAAAACTTCAAAAGGAAACAGACGGAGAGTGGCTACCAGGTATGACTAAGTTATCCATTTAATTTTGATTTTAACGACAATTTTTGTCTTAAAACAAAGTGAGAGTTGGCCCAGATTCTTGTTGGCGCATGCTTGAGGTTAGCTCGGCGGCTTACGAACGAGTTTGAAAAAAAAACAAAACGCTATGTTAGGCTACGATGAGGTTCATGTGGAAAACAGGCCTAAGCCTTCAACCATCATTATCGTAACAAAATCATTAGTTCTGGCTGAGTATACAGGGTGTCTCCAAAAAAGATAATCCAACTTCAACGCGCTGCTGTGCGTGAATTACCCTAGAAACAAGAGTCACTTTTGATACTATGAAAGAACAGTCGTTTAGCTTTCGAATGCCATGTTGTTTCTCAAATGCGGAGGAAAAATGAGCAAATGCGAGCGCGTTGAAATTTCTTAACTATAAATAAAGTCCAAAAGGGGCTGACAAAAAACAAAGCTTGTTTTCAAAAGGTTTTGTACTTAATTCTCAGAGGTGAAAGAATGTGATTTCGACCAGGATTTCCTTGGTTTTCTTCCATATTTCAAAACCAACATGGCATTCGGTGATCACAGAAAAATAAAGCCTATTACGCCGACCTGTCGCCGACTTATTGTCTTGATTCGTCGAGGGAGAAAATAATTTCTGAAAGACAAAAGGTTTCACTCATCAATAATCACCGATAATAATAATTTGCTGCATGACGTCGGCGTTTTGATTTACTCATCCATTACTCAAATTTATTGTATATACCAAAATTTAAGTTAGGCTTTCCTCTACACAAATAATTATTTACAACTCTGAACCCAATAGCTCATAATATCTCGTCAAACCTGTATACTTTTTTCTGGTGCACCCGGTATATGCATGGGCACTAATTTTGTACTTTTGTGTTATAGGTGCGAAATATGTAACTAATTATATACTCTTTCATTTGTAATGCAACTTTTTTGAAAAATTTTCCAACTTGTAAATTACCTTAGCACGGCTATTTTGCCGTACTTTGCAAAAATTCGCACCCAACCATGGTGATTTTACTAATCTATACTAATAAATACACTAATCTATCATAGGGCAATCTGAAAAAAAATCGCCTGGCAAATAGCAAAGGTAATTTTCTAATTATTCATTTATCATTCTCTTTAATTTTAAATCTTTTTCTGTAATGGACAGCTTCAAATTGAATTCCTTTTTTGCCCAACTAACTATAGTAGCAATGGTGTTGCTTAGTTCCTCAAGTTCAACAGTGACTTGCGGAACAACTTTAATTCAATTAGACAAGTGACACAATCAAATACATTTATTATTCATCTATAACTCTTTACATGCAGTATGAGAAGAATTTTGAAAAAGCAAATTTGGTCGTGTTAAATTAAGAGGGCCTGTTTTAAGTATTTTAATTATATGGCAAGCATCACCTCCGGTTAAATGGTTCCTGTGATTGCCTAGAGAAATTTCCAACGGCCCATTTACTTTCTCATAATAGAAAACCTTCCCGTATGATAGGTCTGTAAGAAAAAATATTTATAATTTATAGCTATAATGTTCTCTCGTATATCGTATAGATACACATATATTTTATTCCTTTCGCTTCGACTGCATGATGTTAACTCCCTCTACAATAATCCCTATATTTTTAGATTAATGTCAATTCCCATCTGGGCGTGTCCGTATTATTATTATTAGCATTACTATATTACTCTTGAAATGCTATATTTCTTGTGACTTTGTGGCCATTCTTTTGTTGAGCTGTTACTTCTACACCATTCCTTGAAATAACTTTGTATGGTTCTGGGTTGAAATTCGTTGTTAGTTTGTTTTTCTTTTCCTGTTGAAGTCGAACTAACACATAATCACCAACATGTATCTCGCTCTTTTCTACATTTCTTTTATGATCAGCGTATTCTTTATTTCTTTCCTTCTTTGTTCTTTCGTTGTCTCGAGCTTCTTTGTGTCTTTTAATGCATGACTTTCCTTCGCGTGATCACTGGGATCTTTCCTTTTACAATACGATTAAATAATAGTTTTGATGATGGTACACCTGTGGTACAATGCGGGGTTGTCCGATATTGAAGAAGAAAACGATATAACTCTTGTTTCCATGGTCTTTCTTCTAGCTTTGCTGTCTTTAGTGCCTTTCCCAACGGTTGCATGAATCTTTCTACCATTGCGTTCCCTTGAGGCCAATAAAAAAAAATTGATTGATTGATTGATTGAAATTAAGATCACATGGCAGCAGAAACTGAATTGCGTGACTTATTACATGGGTTGGTTACACTAGTATAGTAAAGCTACTACTTAGTATATATACAAAGATTCTTGGTTACACTACTATATTAAAAGATCCACTATAATTATATATAAGAAATTCGTTATATAGGATGATTACTCTAGTATAAAAAGTTCTGCTATTATTACATGTATAAGAATCTTGGTTACACTACTATATTAAAAGTTCTACTATAATTATATTTACAAAATTCCTTGTATAGGACGTTTAAGGTCACCTAACGGGTCAAGTAACCTAAGATGGACATTTCTTATACAACTGATTATATGCTTTACTACCATAGTACTAGTTGTTGGTACTACTAGGGGGTATTGTACCCTCAGGTCATAAGCTTTAGAATCATGACTTTGCTGTAGTAGATGTTTCAATTTATTATCTGGGCTTTCCTTTATGTTCTGGAATAGTTTGTTGGTGAGCGCTTCATGATGATCGTCAATGGTTTGAATATTGGCTAACTCCAGGGCGGTAGAGTACGAAACACCCGGAAAGATACACCTCAACGCTCTCTTCTGGATGCGCTCCAGATCTTCTCTCAGATATATTGGGAGGGCGTAATGGAAGACGGGACAGGCATAATCCAATGTTGAACGTATGCATGCACAATAGTATTGTACTATATCGGCAGTGTCACTCCAGATCGTTTAAGTTGAATCAAGAAGTAAAATTTTTGGAAAGCACTCTTTCGGAAAGGCGCGAGTTGAGCATTAGTCCCAAGAGTTTCACACTTGTTACTTTTCTGATTGGTTGACCATTAATCAATACCGGTGGACAAATTTCTTTTTTATTTTGTCTGCTGTAGCTGATAACAAGTTCTTGTTTTGTTTGTCACAGTTCAACTGGAAAAGATTCTTTTTAGACCATTCGTTAACTTCATTAACAGCCATGCAGCTGGGCACAACTCTGTTCTCCTTTCTGTATAGTTTCCGAAACAGTTGAATCGTCAACGTACTTCCATAGATCGAAAGGATAAGCGGTAGAAAGATCGTATATCAAAATTAAAATCATGCAGCCAAGGGCCCAACTTTGTTCCTTGGGGGACCCCTGACCTCACTAGGCCCCAATCTGAGAAACAGTCACATCCTATCTTCACTCTCTGTGATCTGCCGGTGATGAAGCTTATTATCCAATTTAAAATACTGTTCGGAATATTTAATTGTTTTAGTTTGGTTATAAGCAAGGAATGATCGATAAGATCGAAGGCTTTACGAAAGTCAAAAAACATCGCTCGAACAGTGGCACCAGTACCATCGGTGTCGTTTAACCATTTATGGCAGCATGTTAATTAGAGCTATAGTTGTGGACGAGCCACGTATAGTTCCAAATTGGTTTGGGTCAAGAGATCTAATTACAGATGGTTTAATGTAATCTGTCACAACAAAATCTTCAGCTATCTTAGATATTGACGCGGTGAGAGATATGGGTCGGAGCTCTTTTTGGGGGTCGCTGACCTTCTTAACTTTAGGAATAGGAATTACATTGCGAGTTTCCAGTGCTTGGGATTTTTTGCTCCTTAATGAAGCTTCAGAATGTAAGTAACAGGTTCGGCTAAAATCTTAGCATATTCCTTTAATAACCAATTTGAGATGCCATCAGGTCCACAAGATTTATGTTTGTTTAGACGAGTCAGGGACTTGTAAACTCGATAAACAGGGAGTTCTAGGATGTCTGGATCGTTTTCCAAAGATACGCGTTCAGTGGTAGGGTCCAGTAAATGGAAAGCTTGGAGAGGTTCCAAGAAAGCAGCATTTAATTTTTTCGCAATGTCCCTACGTGGTATATCTTGTAATTCAGAAATTCCATGTAGTTTATTTAGAAGGTCACCTGAGTCTGTTTTTTTTGCTCCTTCCACCACTGTTTGGGGTTTTTTCCTTTAAGATCTTCAACCTTTGATGAGTAAAACTTTGCTTTGCTAGTTTTCCTTTCTCTATTCACTTGGTTCCTCAACGATTTATATTCATGTTCGCTACCTTCTTTATTAGAGTGGAAGGCAAGCTGTCGTAGTCGTATAAGTTCCTTGAGCTTTATAGTCATCCAAGGTGGGTCTTTAGGATAGACTTTAATAGACTTTATAGGCATAATGTTGTTCATTCCTATTTTTACAGTTTCATCGAAAACTGATAACATACTTTCACAATCCTTTTGGTGCAACAATTGGGGCCAATTAAGGCTAGCCAGGTATCGGGCAAGGGAATCTTTTTTGCTCTGTCTTTTGTCACGAACAAGGATTTTTTTCCTTGTGGACGTAGCACGAGTGCGTTCTCTTGGTTTCAACAGTACGGTGCTATGATCAGATAATCCGAAAGGTGGATTAATTTCGGGTTGTAAGAAGAAATTAGCCTTGTTAGTAAGGATCAAATCGAGAGTAGCTTAGCCCCTTGTTGGCGATTTGACTAACTGCTTTAAATTGAAATGTCGTTGCAGACTATTTACATTAAGATGGTTAAAATCTCCTGCAACAATAAGTCAACAGTTGGGAAACATTGACTCCGCTACAGAAAGACTCTGAAAGAGATGGTTTGTAATAAGTTGGGAATCTGCTCCCGGTGGATGGTACACCACAGCAACAATTAAACATGAAAATCCCCGAGGTAATCGTTTTGGGTTAAGCTTTAGCCAAAGAATTTCATGATCTTGACAGCAGTTCAGATTCTCAGGTAATTCGTACGTGAAATCGTCCCTAAGATATATACAAACTCCTCCATGTTGTTTAGTTAGTCTATCTTTCCGGAAAATAATATAACTATCAATATGTACGATAGAGTCACTAATTCTGTCGTTGAGCCAAGTCTCCGTAATGAGACCAATGTCAACGCATTTTCGTAACAGAAACTCTTGTATTTCCACCAATTTAGGTACTAGGGACATCGTGTTTGAGAGCATTATTCGGGGAACAAAATTACATGATACTTGATTAGAGGTTTGTGGTAAGGTTGAAGATTGTGCCACAATGCTTGGTGTGAGGTAGTTATTAAAATTATTTTTAAAATTTTGTGGTCCTCTGCACGTCCTTTCGGTTTTAGTTTGCCGGTTTCCATAAACACGGTTTGTAATTCTGACTTGGATTTGGCTATTTTCTTTTGGGATTTCTAATTCATTCGTAACTTTATCCGGTACCGAGGCATTTAGTGTAGCTTCCCACGTTTGTCCCGGTATGGTAGAGGGAGTCCCCCAAAAAAAGAAGAAGACTGTGAGGAATGAGTTGTGGTTCGAGGATTTAGCTTGGATATTTCTGTCGGACTTGGCTTTTCGGGAGGATTCTGGCAGACTTTTAGTTTGCGAGTAACATAATCGCACTCCCCGAGAGGCTCAGGTTTACTCGATGATGGTATTTCGATCAATGGCAACATATTAATCCAGTCTGGTGATTGTGTTGTGGGATTACAATGTTGGTGCTCTTCAGTTAGGTTAGTTGTTATTCTCATCTTCGTTGACCTTGACCGGATTTTGTTTGGATGTTGGTTTCGGGTTGTTACACGGAGCCGAAGGCAACAATGTGGGCAATGTGTTGAGCTTATTGCTTTCATAATGCGTGTTGTCGCTTTTCGATACGTTCGCCTCAACTAAGCGATCGTAGTTGATTTTATCGTGTTCGTTGGCCTGATTTAAGCTTAGGTTGTCAATTTGATCGTGTTCGTTAGTTCGGTCATATTCATTTGAGACTGGAGAGGTTTCGCGTTGGTTCGGCTTAATGCAATCGTGATGCGTATTGCCACTTATCGGTTCGCTCGCCTCAGCTAAGCGATCGTAATTGGTTTTATCATGTTCATTTGGCTGATTTAACATAGGTTGTCGGTATGATCGTGTTCGTTAGTTTGATCATATACATTTGAGACTGGAGAGGTTTCGCATTGGTTTGGTTTCAGATGTTTATCTAAATATATGTGCATAATTGTTGCCTTTAAAGATTCATTGTTTACTTTAGCCGCTTTGAGATCGTTCTCAAGGGAGGCGATAGTTTTGTTTAATTCGTATACTTCATGGTTTCTTCCACTAACTAAAGTGGCTAAATCGCTCTCGAGACGTTCGCACTTTTCTCTTTCATTATCAAGATCTTTTTTAAGGCGAACAATTTCGTCTTTCTCATCTTTCACTAGAACGCCAACGGCCGCTAATATTTTTGACTCTATATTTTTGTTCATAATAACCATGTCAAGCTTGACTCCCTCGAGTTCGGCAGACAGTGCGCCACACTGACAACCACATTCACGCGCAGGAAGATCCAATTCACGGCTGTCATATTTCTCAGCTTGGATTTTATTCTCAGCTACGTATCCTTCGACGCCGAAATCGGGATTGAATTTTTTATATGAACAGGAGCACATATATTGATATTGTCATCAGCACTCAAGCGATCAATTTCACAACGTTCGTTTGAAAAATGGTTTCAGATTTACTTTGTTTTACTTCACAGTAATTTATACAAACACTCTTTAAAGCCTCGCCGTCCCTACCTTGGAAGATCAACGAGTTTTGTTTGTCCGGACACCAAGTAAAACTGAGATCTGTGTTCGAGCTAACAAATTTCTTTCTTTTGCCACCAGGCGAAGACCATTTTCCATCGAGGCGAAAGGTTTCAGATGTAATTTGTTTCAGTAAATTCAAATCTCCATTCCATTTAACTCTCTTTCCATCATAATAAAGATTAGAAAGATTTTCGTTCGTTAAAAACGTTGAAAGTTTAAGAAAACAGCACCAATTTGATGATTTCCTTGATTGTGCTGTGAGGCATGTTTACACGCCGCCAAGTTCACGCAGTACAATAAGGGGTTGAGAACTTAGTTTCAATGCCAAGGGTTTTCATATACCGTGCATATTCGTCTCCATTGAAGGGAGGTCCATTGTCAGATATGATTGTGTCGGGTATTCAATGGACAGAGTAAATTTTGTCCAGTTTCAGAATTATGGTTGAGCTCGTGTCGAATGAACAATGTCCACTTCTGGAAATCTCGAATATCTATCCACTACCACTAAAAGATATTCAGACGTCGGTAGTGGTCCATAGTACGGAAGTCTACGTATGTGTTTGTCCATGGTAGTTCTGGCATTTCTGTCATGCGTAGAGATTCGGGGTGTTTTGGTCTATCTGCAGCCTGGCAGGCTATGCACTGTTCGATTGTGTCCTTTACTCGATTATCGATTTGCGGAAACCATATTTTCTCACGAATTAGTGATTTTGTCTCTTCAATGCCTAAGTGCGTCTCGTGTCTATTGCGCGTTGTTGCCACGCAGCTGGAATTACAATTCTTGATCCTCTCAATTCCTAGTGCCGTGGTGGTCAATTCATTCTTAACTGTTTTGAATTCTTTCACTCCGGGAGAATCCCACTTGTTTGTTTTGATTGCGTCACTCATGCAGTTCCAATAATGCCGCGTCACTGTTCTGAGTTATGAAATTGATATATTGTTCTGTCATCTTCTCCTGTTTTCGCTTACTTTCGTTAGTTGGATGACGAGAAAGATAGTCCGCCGGATTATTTGCACCCGATTTATATATTATCTTGCCGCATATGGTTGGAGGCGAAGTATCCATCTTTCGATACGTGCCGATGTTTTCGCTGTACGTTGTTTTGCCGATGTTTTCCCTTTACGGTCGGTTACTAATGTGAATTCACTACCAAATAAAAATGCCAAAGTGTTCAACTGCCAAAATTATCGCTAGCGCCTCTTTTGTGTTTGAGAATATCTTTTCTCAGTGTCGGTCAACGCTCGGCTGGCATACGCAATGATCTTCTGGTTGTTAATATCACTGTTTTTGGTTTTTTTGTGACAAAATCGCCGAAACCACTACTGGTATCAACGACCACAAATGTTTCTTTCTTTTTGTCGAAGTACGCCATGAATGGCGCAGTAGCGAGTGTGTTCTTCAGCTTTTCGAATGCGTTTTGATGTTTTTGCGTCCACTCAAAACGAGCGTCTTTTCTTGTGAGTTCACGTAGTGGAGCGGTCAGGGTTGCAAAATCCCTAATGTATTCACTAGAATAGTTCGCCATTCCAAGGAGGCTTCTGATTTCATGCGCATTGGTTGGCTGAGGTGCGTTTAGTAGATCAGCGACTCTCTTAGGATCAGGTCTCGTACCTTCTTCTGAGAATATTTGTCCGAAGAATGATAATGTATTTCTTAGGAAGTCACACTTGTTTTGGTTTAGTCGCAAACCTTTCATTGCAAGCCGTTGTAGACATTTATTAAGATTTGCATCGTGCCCGGCTCTTGTCGACCCAAACACATTATATCGTCCGCTATGTTTTTTACGCCTTCAAGTCCTTGAAGTGCAGTTTGGAGGGTGTATTGAAATATCTCTATGGCAGCGTTGGTACCATAGTACGTTAAGTCTCTTGTATCGAAACAATCCTACGTGCGTGCTAAATGTGGTCACAAATTATCGAGACTGTTCGTCTAATTCTAACTGGTGATACGCTTGGCTCAAATCGAGTTTCTAAAAGAATTTACGTTAAGAACCGTTGTGGTTGTGCTTTCGATGTTTGTGTTTTATCAATGTCTAGTTTAATTTTCTGCCCCTTTAATTTTCCGAGTCCCGAAAACACTTTAGAGTGCTTATGAATGATGTTTTCAAGTGATGTATCAGTGATGTATTACTGGTGTATAGTGATGTATTACTGGTGTGAGTTTGTCTATATATGCAAGCTAACAAGTCCGATGTCTTTGGCTGTGGAGAGCGAAAGTAAATTTCCACTATTTTCGCCTTTTGCTACGTAAAATGTTGCCACCGAAATCCGCTTCCTTGTTTCTATAACCGCTTCGAATTTGCCTAAGAATTGCAATTTCTACAAATTACGCTAGTACTATAGGTTTTGTTCTAATTTATTTGTCTCACCGTCTTTTGGTTCTGTTGATTCAATCTGTTTTGCTTGATATGCTCTGTTCGTCTCGCCGTCCTTCTAACATCATGGCTTTTAAATCAAATGTAGGGTCTCGCAATGCTCGCTTTCGTATTTTCGATAAATTTCTGCCAATTATGATCTGTTCCTCTATTTCAAAATCAACGTCTGCGAATTCACATGTTTCTGACATTGTTCTTAGCCTTGTATGGTATTGGTCTAACGTTTCATTATTCCCTTGTGTTGCTTGTCTGAATTGGTATACTTCGTATCTTCGGTTCTTTTGAGGATCGAAATATGTCTTCAATTTTTGCTTTGCAACATCGTAATCTGCGTCTTTTCCAGTCTCGGGGATTTGTTTAAAAATCTCTCGCACTCTAGGTCCGGCTTGGTATAGTAACACTGCCCTTTTTCTAGTTGGATCCGTAATGCCACTTGCCGTTAAATACATCTCAACGTCCGATTGCCAATTGCTTCATTTTGTGGCTATGCTTGTGCCAATTTTCGCATCAGGGGAAAATTCTGGCATAAGATTCATCGTTATTCCAAGGCGCGAAAAAAAAGGCGCGACAAAAGGCGCGAGGCGCGAAAAAAGGCGCGACAAAAAGGCGCGACAAAAAGGCGCGCGAGGCGCAATAAATAGATTATCTCGTTTTTTATTATTTTTCATCGTCGTAAGTGTGTTTTGGTGCGAAATATATTAGTGTTTGAAAAGCGAAAGGTCGTACCGTTTTACACCGTATGTAACCGTATTTAACTAGGTTGAAGTTTTGTCTCGCAAGAGTCGTGGTGCACTGAAATTAAGTAAGTAAGTAGTAAGAAAATCTTTGACGATGCCGCGATTCGATTTCGCTCGCGTGTTACGGCAATCTTCCACGAGGAATGACTAAACCATTGTTTCGATGCTGTTCGATTATGTTTAGGTTAAATCGGGGTAAAAAATATTTAATACCTGTATATTTTAATATTATCGCTGCTATTTTAGCGTTTAAAAATGTGGTCGTGTGTCGCACTTTGACAGGTCGCACACGATTGAAGAATACGATCAAACACAATACGAACCATTTATATTTATTAATTCGCGAAAACATTACTCTGATTTACACATATTGCACGCTAATATAAGCTCTAAGGTTATCATATGAGCAAAAGCTTTTAATATAAACGCAAATTCCAAAGTCTAAGACAAAGTGAAGTCATGTCCGTACGTAGACATATCATGCGGTTTATTTACATTTTTGAATTTCTAAAGTGCGATATACTTCTGAATGTCGAACGCTTCTATACTTTGAACTGCACGGTGCGCTGTCTGAATACCGAACAACATTTAGGTTCGCAAGGCTTCTACATGAACTGTTTAGTGTTTACGTTCAGAAGTTTTATATTGAAGATGACACATGCGCGGCACGCCGGAGCACTGTGGCCGGAGTTAACGCCAAATCTGGCGTCTTGTTTTAGATTAATGTCAATTCCCATCTGGGCGTGTCCGTATTATTATTATTAGCATTACTATAATAGCCTCGGAATGAGAGCGATTCGGAGAAATATTGCCCGATGCTAGGGGTGAAGTTCGAGGCAAATATCATCACTAAGAAAGCTATTTCGCCGAACCCCTGGAGGGTCTATGAAGGATATATTACACAGGATTTTTTTGAGTGTCTTTTACAAGTCTATTCATCAAAATACGAAAATTTCGTCGCCGCCCGTGTCGGCTCCCGCCATGTCGGCTCCCCCGTGTCAGCTCCTGCCATTTTTTAAATGTTTCGAGCAGATTCAAGTAGTCCACGCGAGACATGACATGAGATAAATTTAACACCACACCCCACTGTGACACCCCAGTTTAGAAAATAACGTTGGGACACCGCAAAAAATTGGCTGGTCATGTGCTACAAATACTGTTTTCTGATCGATTGGATAAAAAGAATTTGAGGTATAATATCTCTCTGTAAAATCCTTCCGCTCGATCATAAGAAGTTAATAGTCCGGGGAAGTGCTTATGTTTCCTCAAATTTAAAAATTAAATGCTATGCACAGAGGAACACAATTAGGGAAAGACAATTAAGATTTATCCCTACGAGAATTGAACGAAAAAATTAATTTATTTGGGTTTGCTCTGGGTAAACACAAATGATCGATTGGTTTATTTTATTGTTTTATTGTTCTATTGTGTTGTTCTTTATATTTTGTCATAAATATATGCAAAACCTCTTTTTTCGTTTTTCCTAGCGAACGGAGAATTTAATTCCCTCCTTTTCGTACGAGATATATAACTAAAAAAGTAATAAGCTAACTTGAAATTCACATGGCTGAGTTTAAACACATTTGTCTTGGGAATTAACTAATACTTAACTAAGCAGCCTACGAAAATAGCGAGAGTTTTTGTGGGATAGAATGTAGAAGTTCTATATTTAAATTCGGCTATTTTCCGTTTTTGGCGACGTCTAGTGTTAATAACTATGGTAACTGCTATTCATATAACTCTTTTTATTCAGAATAATAATATGGGTATAACTCTTAAGCTAAGAAAACAAAGTGTATTCATTTCCATTGGGTTTGGTCATCAGTGGATTCAACGGAATGCTGAGTCATTCAAATCCTAACTATCCTAAATCCTTTTCTTTTTCGTACATGCTGCATGTACATAAAAATTATTATGCCACAGCATGCGTAATTCCACCGTTTTTAAACAAATCTCCATTTTTGCTTCAGGGAAAATAGTTCATAAATCATGGACGAATGAGGAGAGAAGATGCGTTTTGGGCGAGTTGGCACATTTGGTTCGGGAGGGAAGGGTGCCAAATAAGAGAGAGTGCGAGGAATGCATTGTGAAGGCGAAGGGGGTGTTGAAAAACCGGGATTGGAAGGCAATTAAGTACTGGGTTAAAAACGAAATAACAAAAAGACAAAAAAGAAAAAGATAAGTGGAATTCCGCTAATAACATGAAATTTGTTAAGTTCACTTCCAATGATGTTATGTGCGTAAAGGTCGTGTTTTATGACTATAGGTAATAGTATGGTTTCGAGTGCAATTTGGGTATAATATAATTGCACGAGAAACCATACTATTACGTGATAATGATATAACTGGAAATGATCGAGACAAAATATGACATCGTACAACTCAATTTCCTCCAAAAATCCTCTGTTTTGCCCAGGTCTTAAAAACGCTTAGCCAAAAATTGGTGCGACTTGTTGCGTTTTTATTTTTTGCATTATTTTGTAACTCCTGTATTGTACTTGCCTCAATGTTTCGAAATCTTTGCATTTGCAATCTTTGAATGGATTTTCGCGGGAATTTTTCGGGAAATTTGATTGGCTATTTTCTTTATTTCAACCAATCAGATACGTTTGTTACAGATTTTTGCACTGTTGTTACAGATTTTTGCACTGCTGTTACAGATTTTTGCACTGCTGTTTCAGATTAATTGCACTGAAACCAACCAATCACAGTCGAGAATCATTTCCAGTTATATTATTATTGTGATTACCGAGTGATGATATTATGTGCGTAAAGG